CTTCAAACAATTGATTTTATAGTTTTGAAGGTTATTCTTAATTAAAGGTATATTCTTTAATAATAAAATAATAGAAGGATACTCTATAGACTAGTTGAGATTTTGATTAAAATAATCTACTTTAATTCAAGTCTCTGCTAGTTATATATAGTCTAAAATTATATTATATAATTCTAAATCGATAATGAGGAATGGTAAATAGGATTATTATCGAATATCAATAATAAAATTAAGAAATATATAATAAGTAATTGCTTTACTTTTTATATTATTATAGCTTTTGACTTTAATAAAAAGATTAAATAATAAATAATAAGATTTAAATATAAGAAATAATAATATAAAAAGTATCTTATTAATAAAAGCAAAATTGTTTACTTCAAAGTCTATAAGAGATTGAGTTTGAAATAAATATTTATTTTTCGAAAGTATACAAAATAGATTTATAAAATCATTTCTTATTAATTTTGTTAAATCAAGGAATCTCATATTTCGAATTATATTTAAAAAGGAATTTCTACCTAAACATATTAATTTAAATATTGGTTTTCGGTATTACAAGCGGATTTAATAATTTCCACTTATACTTCTAGATTCAAACCCTTCTCAACATTATGAAAATTTTCACAAGAATCTTTATCCTCTCCAATTTCTTTGATTTCGGTTATAATACTAAAATTATTTATACATAAAATCGAATCATAATTAGCTCCCAGCAAAAAAGATATAATATTATAATTGAAATTGTTTCCTAAAAATAGAGTAATATTTGATTTAAAGATTTCTATATAGTTATTTGGAATATAAAAGGGATTTTGGGAATAAAATTGAGAAGATAGAGTAGAGTTATTATATATACAGAAAGTGCCCTTAAATATATTTTGTATAAAAGTATTATTAGTAATTTTCTTATTTAAAATTTCTTTAATCTATTTATAATAATTATATTCTCAAATAGTAACTTTGAATTCGTTAATCTCCATAAGCTTACTAACAAAGTCTTTAATAATAATATAATCTTTGATATAAAGACCAATAACTTATTAAAGGAAATCAGATATTTTTCTTTTCAAATCGCGAAAAAGAGTTTTATTATTAATGATTTCCATTTGTATAGTAAGTAATTAAAACTTTCGATATTATAATACAAAGTTACCTTTTTGGGTATTATTAGGTATAATCCAATATTCATATTCAATTTGTACATGATCGACTTTGATAGGATTTTTATAAATTGCTACGAACTTATCAACCAATTATAATCCCATTAAGAAAGGGACTTGAGTATATAAAGAGTATAGATATTATTAAGCTTCTTTTTCTATCTAATTTGCTACATAAAATCAATATTGTGATTCTAAGATAAACAATATTATATATAGTTTTAATTATTTTATAACTAATAATTACTATAAACCTACTTTTGATTTCATACTATCTTTAAGTTTTGATAAAAGATTAATGGGTTTCGAAATATATAGTTTTTTTGTAAAAACAATATCAAAACGAAAATAGAATATTTAATAGAATAGCGAATTGTGATTAAGTACAACTATTGATAAATAAATATTCTTTTCTAAATGAAAACAAGATTGTTCCAAAGTGCATCCTCGAAAACGATTTTTCTTCTTTTTAAACATAAGAGTATTCTGCTCAATAGATTTCATAAAAACGTTAAAAGTCCGGATTCCATTTTTCTTAAAAGAAAATGTATAAGGTTGCTGAGAGATAATATAAAATAGATTAACGGTACTTTAAACATTATTAATTTATGCTTATAATCTAGCAACTTGTTTTTATAAGAATTCAAATGCTTACATTTGATCTATGATTAATTACATTTGGGCATCGATTTGAGCAATATTATCTCAAGATTAATAAATAGTTCCCCTTTCTTTATCCTTTCTCTTTCTACCAAGATTAATACTAGATTCAAAAACAATATTGTTATTGCTTGCATAAGTTTGCTCTCAATCAGATTGAGCAAATAAGCTGACTGGGGACTATTATACACTAAACATTGATACAAATAGATTAACATTAGGATTGATAAATATAGATATAGTAGTAGTACTTATAACTTGTATATTTGTTAGTGAATTATCTTTATTGAGAATTAATTGGAATAGATCTTTTTTCTATAAGTAATATCGAATTTATATAATTCACTCAAGAAGGTATTAAGTTATAAGGTATTATTTAATCGACCACCAGATAGCCATACAGTTATATAATGAGTTGTAGATAATGTAACACTTTGCTTTAGAAGAATTGCAAGAGCAGGATACAATTTATCCTTAGAATCTACAACTATAGAATCGAGAGCAAAGCGCTTATAGAGCGCTCCTATATACTAGCTATATATACATAATCGTGCACATGCGCATACGCGCACGTGAGCGATCGCATTGCGATTGAGTGCGATCCGTGACAGAGACTAGCTTTTTCAGTAGATCTATATAAGATCTACTACTTCCTGTATATAGCTAGCTCTTTAGATAGAATATAATATAGACAATTAGAACCTATAGTTTGTAGGTACTATGTCTTTTATATCCTTCTCAAACTAATAATTTTATAATAAAATAACTCTAGAACTCTTTGTTTTTTAGAGCCTTACATGTTACGACGGGTTGGTAACAGGCTGTAGAATCACCAACGTATAGGCTATAATAGTATTATAGGCCTCAGTGATTCAGCTACAGTATACCGAAAGGCACTAGGCACCCAAGGAAAGCCTCAGGCATGTATATAGTATTAGTTATAAGATAACGTGGTTTATCAGTACGTGCACCATATCAGCATATGCACCACTTCGAAACACACCAAAATTAGCTTTTTATTAATATTTTTATTTAAATAACTAGTCATTATTTTTTATTTTTTTAAAAATTCTTTATAAAGAATAAGAATAGAATATTTATAAATCTTAATTCTTTTATAAATATCTCAATCATAGCTCAAATTTGTCACACTTTACGTTACAAAAACCTATTTCTTTGAATAACTTTTTTTTAATTCTAAAATTTAAAAATTTTGTTTCATTTTTATATTATCTATATAGATAAATATGACATTTTTAAGAAAAAATTAAATTACATCGATAAATAAAGAAAGTGCACGGTTACGCACAGTCTTTTTTTGTATGTAAAAAAAATGGTGCACATACTGATATGGTGCACGTACTGATAAACCACATTACCCTAAATCGTAGGATATAGTTTCTAGGATAATAGATCCCAGAAAGAATAGAATACAATAAGCAAGAAAGGCTTTATTAGGATTAATAATGTTCTAGAGGATTAGTTTTAGAATAAAAGGACAAACTAGAACAATAGGAATTATTGTTTTAATTAAAAAATAATATAATATATATATCTTTTTAAAGGCATTCAATCTAAAATTAGCCTATTATATAATCAGATCATATGATCATCACTTATAAGCTTACAAAAGCGATTATTAATCCGAAAACGACCATTAATCCGAAAACGATCATTAATTCGAAAATGGCCATAAAATACGAAAACAGCTGTAAAATAAAGAAAACAAAAAGAGGCTTTATTTCGAAAGAATGAACGGATTAGGAAGAGATCTACAAGGGATTTATGAAAGCGGAAATACTGAATTAATAGAAAAAGCATAAAAAGAGATCTTTTTCCTTTTGAATATAAAATAAGAGAGATTATTATTAAATACAGATTCTTTAATATCACGTGTTACACTGCTTATATAATCCATTTTAGTCGTTAACTAGAGCCAGCTTCCATATTACATATTATTAGCCTATGACCTACGATAGGAATCATAGAATAAATATTATATAATTAAAAGCTGATTGACTTATTGATCGATTTATTAATCGATTTATTAATCGACTTTAATATAAAGATTTATATAGAGAATAAGTTTTATTATAATATAAAGCTTTATATTCAAAAACAATCATTAGTTTTATTATTATAATTATAAGAATTATAATTAATTATAATCTTATTGAATTCCTATTTAAAGTTTAGTCTAAACTATCTCGAGAGATCTTTAGACACTTCTATATAACCCTAAAGGCAGCTCCTATAATATTATATTTCTCTAATAATAATACATAAAATATATTATACAGCTTTTTGTATAGATTGAGTAACTGTAGTTTATGTGACGAATATCACGTGACATAGTGATAACTCATCATAACCCTAGTTCAAGGCTAGCTTGAACTAAGGCGATTGTTACTATATAAGAGATAAAGAGATCCCTTAAGGATCTCTTTCCTCTTTAGCTTTCTGATTCTAGTTATTTGACCTCTGTGATATACTCTAGTATGTGATCGTGACACCTCTCCCTCTCCTCACACTCAAACATAACAACTCTCAGAGACCCAAACATTCCCAACACCAACTCCTTCACAATGACATAAAATATGATATGATATGATATATAGAATTCATCTGTATCTGTATCTTCTGTATTTATCTTCTGTATCTTAATTTGCATATCTACTACTACTACTCCACAATCACCATCACAATCACCATCGATCCATCTGCCCACTCATTCATCAATCGTAAACATCCATCTCAATTGCTTACTCGAATACTCGAATACATCATGCTATCATACCATGCATGCATCTATTCCACGCTAACCCATATATCCATATATATATGCACATTAAGTCTATCTCTTTCTCTTCCTTTCTTCTCTCTTCAACCTTTTCACCCCCCTATTCTGATTTGATTTACGTTACAACCAACCAACCAACCAACCAACCAACCAACCCATCCCATCCCATCCATACGTATAAAATAATCCATCCATACAATGCAATGCACGCACCCCGCACCAAGAAGCGCAAGATCAAAATCAAATCCAATTATGCAAAAGTCATCTCAATTTCCTCCTCTCCCCCACCCCCGCAAATTCATCCTCATCATCATCCGCCCACGCATTTTTTTCCGCCACGTATCCCATTCCCATTCCCGTAACCCCCAATCCCAGCCCTACTCCCACTCCAGCCCCATTCCCAATGGCAATGTAGAGGCCGATTTTAATTCCGGTCTTGCACTACTCGATCCAGTCCCATCGAAACCACCTCCAAATGCACCATTACCATCAGCTACATGACCCAAAGAATGGAAACTTGTATGTCCTCTCTCAGGTAGCCTTGTACTACTAACATTGGCCGAATGAGGAGGAGAATGATACGCCGTATCAAAAGTCATCTCAAGTTCATCCTCAGGTTCCTGAGCCAGATATGGTGAATTCCTCGCGAGATCTTGTCGAGAATTTGAATTCGAGTACGAATATGTTGAGCCTGCACCAAACCCATTTGAAGGACGAGGAGAATGACCTGGCGAACGATAATCATAGGCATGTAATGTCGTACTTGCATCATCGCTTTTTGTTGGTCGAAGAGAGTTGCGTGGACTGGATTGTGGACTATTCGATGAAGAGGCGAGGCTGAGTTTCATGGGTGGAAGTGTGGATTTGAGTTCTTTAACCTCCATATGCTCGTTGCTACCACCATCGGCTGCAACTCCACTAGCAACTTCTGCACGAATAGCGTCGATGTCGAAAAGAATGCCATGATTATTCCCTTGGCCATCCTCTGTTCCAGATCGGCTTGAATCACGACTCTGCTCATTCTTTGAACTTTCCACATATGTCTCCCATTCTTTACGTTCGACGGCCGATTTCTTTTTACGACCGAAGAAACTAAATCTTCCTTTCCCTTCTTTCTCTTTCTTCTCGAATTCTTTTCGGGCTTCCTCGATCTCATTAATAAGTTCTCTCTGTCTTTCTGCATGATTTTCCGGGTCCGGATCTTCGATTTCAGTAAACTCGTCGCTCTCAACTTCCCATCCCACCTCTCGAAGAAGTTTGGGCATGGCAGTACGATATGCCATATGTCCTGGTACTAGATCGGTAACATCCACATTCTCTATTCCAGGAACATTCTCAACCGGTGCAAGACCTGCTACACGTCTGATGCCACCACTAGTAAGACGGAAAAGATATCCTAGAATCCAATCATTCCTTGCATATCCATTGACAAATCTACCAGCCACAACGGATCTAGCTTTTAGATAGTCGTCCTGATTCACCACATTAGGTGAACCAAATAGGTAAACATTCTGAACCAATCCGTACGCGCCTTTCTTGGCGAGTTCCTTTAGACATGAGAAGATGACACGAGAGCCAAGAGAATATCCCACGAAAGTGATTGGTCTGGTACCAAGGTTTCGATCAATAAGCGAGTCTGCAAGAATAAGACCTGCCGCATTTGCACGGTCAAGGGAAACCGTCCATGGGTTATCGATGAGATATGAAAGTTTGGTCAAAACGACTGGTAATTGTAAAGCAGCCATCAAACCAATAAGGATAGTACTTCCGAGAACTTGTTGAAGACCTTGAGTTAAAGCCTAAAATACGTTAGTAGATACAGTGTGTGCTGAGAAAATCAAACCTTACCTCTGTTGCTAGAATATTAATGGTATCTCCCATACTTGTAAGCATTTCCGGCTCCCAAAGAACCGAATATATATCTCCCATGATCGGATCTACTGTACTATATGGCAAGCGAACATCATCAACTTTACCCGTCATCCATCCCGAGACTGTGATAATTAAGTTGACTCGCTTATTATTATGCAATGGCCTATACTCAAAAGTTTTGACCGCTCCAGTTCTACGATTTGCAGCCTTGATCGCAATAAAACCACCTGAAGTGGCGGCACCCGTTGTGATGATAGCAGCACCTGCAGAACCAGCAAGGAAGCCACTAGTACCTGCTACACCGATTGTAGTGAAACCAGCAGCGAGACCTGCTCCTATAACAGGTGCCAGAAGACCTGCGGAAAGTCCAATGACTAAACTTCCACCAACGGTAGCAAGACCCATCATCAAATATCTTTTCTTGAGAGCCATTTTTCTCCTATTCTCTTTATGATCATCCTCATTCCAATTCTCCTTTTCGGCTGCTTGTTGCATTTCCAAGGCATCTGTTACTCGTTTCTCAAAACGACAGATTTCTAACCAGGAAACTTCCATATTATCGCCAACCTTTTCTAATAAAGTTCTAGATCGTGCATCATAGACTGAGTCCGCAATCAACGTCAAGAATAGATCACAAAGAACAGTCCAGCGAAGATCGATATCAATATTCTTAGTAGTGGGAAGCTGTGAAGGAGTTCGAACTTCAGGTAAATCTTCGCCTTCATGTTCTTGGTATGGTGGAGGTACAGCAGCCGGTTCTTCCTCATCATATCGTCGAGGAGTTTGTGGACTTAAAGGTGATTGTGGTAAGCGTGGAGACTGTATGGAATCTCGTGGTAATCGCGGAGATGAGATGGATTCCCTAGGACTTCTACCAGAAGCAACCGAGTCTTTACTTGAATGAGCTTTCTCGGCCATAGGATTCTTTACTCGTGCATTTTGCATGAGAGTTCCTGTCAGATCCGAAGGGACTACTCCATGTTCAGCCAATTGCTCAATCATGATCTGTTCATCTGTACTGATTTCCATGTGCGCATATAGCCGAACCATCATTTTTTGAGTCCACATTTTCATAGCTTCAGCTGAAACTTGCAATTCTTTCTTGTTTCCTTTCTTTGCTGACACCAACAATTCCTGTTGTTCAAGCATTTTAGAAAGAATAAGTCGAGTCATGCCAACATATGCAATCCTTTGCCCTTCCGTTAAAAGATCCTTAGTAGCTTGCATTTGAGAAACTGCATCTCGCTGCTCCTCATCTTCCACTTCTCCAGCTCCAGTGCCATGAACATCTTTGAAAAGGTATTGTGTGTTCTCATCCAAACTCGTCGCAGATTGAGCATCTTCGTCAAGTTGAACTCTAGTATATCCTCTACCAGCACCACCTAAACCTGCATATGCATCCGGTTCTTCATCAGATTCGTGTGCCTCCTTTGCAATTAACCTATTGTCGTCATCGTAGATATCGTATGGGGCATAAGCTGGCATTGTTTGCCATTCATCATCTTCTTGAGGTGGGCTTTTCGGATCAGGTACAGTGGTATGTTGATGCGACCATTCTGAGATTCCCTGACTGGTTCCCTGACTCGGTTCCATCCGACTATTCCTGTTATTCACCACGGGAACCGCATTGCTGTTATTGTTGCCACTAGAATTCTCTAAACTTTCTGCTGATTTTGGCTCTTCTGCAGGCTTCGCAGGTTCCGACGATTCCGCCAGAGCTTCTTTACTTGTAGATGCGACTTCTTCGATTGTTTGTTGAGGGGCCGGATGCCCATGAGCTGGCAAGTCCTCATTCTGAGTTGTCTCGTGCGGTTCTTGAGGTTCTGAATTCGTGGTCGCAGGCGACGGCGTTGTTTGAACATCCTTGAGCTCCTCTTCTTCTTTATCTGATCCGTTATCCTTCACATCGTCTGCCTTTTCTGCCTCTCCCTTGGTGACATCCGCATTCTCCAATCCATTCTCTCTAGTCTCAGCATTCCGATCTTCTGGGACAATCGACTTATCCTCCGATTCGATATTCTCCAAATCTTCATCATATGCTACCGGTTCTGGAACAACTCTCTTCTTGAGGGGTAATCCAAAATCATCCAGTTCTGCAGGTCCATTTTGAACAGCTGTACCCGGTCCCACAATGCCATCTTCCTTAGCATTTGTGGTGGTCTCATCACTCTGTGGCATATTGTTTCTAGCACTTCGACCACCACCTTGACTCACAGGGCAGGTGGCGTCTCTAACAGATAAATCATCTAACGTCACTTAGACATTCGTTGTTCAATTATTAAATGTGTTCTCGCGCGGATCCATGGATTCTGAAGCACAAAAGTGTTCCGAGGTCGATGCTCTGTGCTTTGTATGGATTTCGTACACACCGTACACACAGACACCGTCCAGTTGACCAGGATTTTGGGATTTGGGAATGACCGATGCACTTCCTCAGTGAGTGAACCAGTAAACGATTGGAACGTGCTTTCTAACGGGTAAGGGTATAGTAATGATTCAGATGTTTTATTGCTTATTGCTTATGGGCAGTGAAGACTGAAATACTTTTGAGTACTTGTAACTTTTGAGGAAGCATTATGTTGTTACACTTTAAATAGATTTGATCTTTACTTGATACGTAGTTTGGGGTCCATTTTCTTTGTTCTGTAATCCAGGGGGTCGGTCAAATGCGACCTACCTATATGACGAATTGGAATCGTAAAATCGTGCTCCCCGATTTCTTCATTACTGTAACTTCAACAAACATCTTCATACAGCTTAATTCCTATTATTCGGGTATCATTCTAAAGTTTTAATTAATGTATATGTAACTTTCTGCTCAATATTCCTGTATATATTAAGCTGTTTCATCCATTTTCTCACTTGAAATTGTCGTTTCCCCATCAGCTCCATCCTCTGCCTTTTTCTTCGAATGTAGACGTTTTCGTTTGCGTTTGATAGGTTCTGAACCATCCGCTCCCGTATCATTTGCATCAGCCACTTTGCTTGACGCATTAGGCTTCGTACTTTCTCCCTCAACCTTCTTTTTCTTCTTCATTGCTAATGGGTTGGGTCCTTTAGGTCCTGGTGCATTCTTCTTCTTTTTCGCAACGCCTTCCGATACACCCATATCTTTCTTTGCTGATTCTTCGTCATCGTCCTCATCGCCTTCGTTTCTCTTCCTCTTGAGACTTCCTGAAGCTCGTCCTGACTTAATGCCTTGTCTAAATTTCGACCTTTCTTCTCTATCTCTCGTCTCCGTAGATGTTTCTGCCATAGGTTCCATAATCATAACACTCCTGTTAATGTATACCAAAGGTACGCCCTGAATTGCCCTCATTGCCTTTCTAACTTCTATATCTTGACTTGCTACTACGTATCTGTGTTTATTGGTTCCATTGTTTTTGCCGTCAACAACTGCTTTGATACAATCGCGGGCAGAGAGAGGTTCGGGATAATCTTCTGGGAGATGACCGCAACGGCGTCGCTCGTACGTTTTTGCTTTGTCGATGAGATAGGAAACTCCTGGTTCTGATGAAGCAGCATATAAATGGCGCATTGAGCATTGTGTAATCACTATGTATGTCAGTAATTAATGCGACAGGACATGAAAATATATGAACATACTAGGCTTCACTTGACCGTGAAGTGTTCGCTCTAAACCACCGACCAAGTCCATCTTGAATCTATCGGCATCCTTAATAATCTCTGCGTCAACTGTTGAGAGAGAAAGTCAGTCATTGAAAATGAGCAATGGTACGGATGCGCAATAATGGGTAGCTCACGAAGTACTTGATATGCTTCACGGAAACCAAAGCTCATGCCATATTGCTGCATGAGCTTTTTATATTGCTTCGCTCTTTTTCCTCTCATGTTTTTGAATTCTTCAAGAAAGTTTGAGGGTCAATTGATTGAGATTGGTAAATGGTAAGAGATGTGATGATGAAGATTGATAATTTTTTTATCGGATAAATTTAACGATAAGGACTTATCGGGAACTAGGGTGGGTTTTCCCAATGGCCCAGTGGCTTCCTAGTATTTGCTGCTAGCCATGCTAAGCCAACAAGTCTAGAACCAAAGGATAGGAATCTAGCGAGTGCTTTCAAGGTCTCTACTTGATATTATATGAATGTACAAAAGTCTATATACTGCCTAAATGACAATACCTATTATATAGATGGTTCGTACGCCTTGTATTCCTCCCACCCGTGAACCTCCTCACTCTGCCCATCTCTTGTCACGATTTCCATTCCTCGCACATCGAGATCTCCTGTTTGGTATTCTTCTTCCCCCTGACAACTGTCTCTATATGCCTCTTGGCGCGAGTTGCTATTACATGAACAGCTTCTAATCACTTCAATCCCGAGGACATATTCTATATGCCCCAGATAACTCAACCGATACAACTACTTCACTTCATCCGTTACTGCGTTTACATAGAGCTGCAACTACACTTATGTCGTCTAGTTTGCCTAGCAATCGATTAGTAAATGGTATGCTTGTCAGCCTCTTTTTACTCACCTCCTTCCATAGCAAGACCTTCCTCGACAGCGTGCTCCATGAAGGGACTCTCTGCGAAAGGATCTTGCGCGATCACTTTTGCAGCTTTCATAAGCTCATCGGCTACAAATTTCATACCACCTCCAGCACCACCTTGTCGATCTCCAGTACCTATACCTCCTTCACCTCGCTCCCACTTACGAATACTGCTTACAACACTTTCAATTATTTCATGCTCCCATAGATTGTCAATTACGCCATCAGACATGGCAAGAACGACATCGTCTTCCTCAATTTCAACCTTCTCCATAACAGCATTATTAACAGGCGTGTCGGGGCTATTTGTACCAAGTTGTCGAGGACAGTCAAACCAATGCCATTGTTCTGTAGTTTTGAAAACACGTTCTTCCTGTTTCGGTCTTATGACTAGTACTTGTGAATCGCCAATGTTGGTAACGTATAAAAGAGGAGTGGCGGGCGCAGTAAGATCTGTATCATCCAGTTTATAATGCAATTGTGCCCCGGTGGCTGTAGTTGTGCCTTGCCATTTATTCGGACTCGCAGTGGCTTGAATCGTTTGCTCATACGCCTTTTGTAGATAATCAATAGGATTCGGCTCAAAGTACTTTCCTGCAGGTCGAGATCTCCTTGCATCATTCTCTACTTCCGCAGCCCAGAAGTGTAATATCAGCCTTGACCATAAACTGACAATAAGTTAGCACTCCAAGGTATATCGTGATTTGAGAAAGCCACAAACCCTGCATGACCACCGTCTCTTGTAGACCAGGCTCCGACACCATCATTTGCGCCAATAAAGTAATCACTTGAGTAAACCGCATCGTCGCCATTGGTATATCCTCTAATTACCTCGCCGTTCACCGAAGGTCTTCTATCACGACTCCTATGATGAGTACTCAAGGGATCGGAAAAGGATCCTGAGGGAGGTGATAGAAATGGAGGAGGAAAAGGTCGAGGCTTTCTCTTGGCAAATAAGGCAAGTCCAGTTTCGAATTTGAAGGGAAGGGATTCTTTTCGAAATGGTGGTATATCGACATCTGCAGATGTCGAAAATGCCAATTCAGGGCGCCATCGCGGAGAACTGTGAATGAGGGTACGGCGGGATTGATTATGTATAGCTTGCGCAACGTTTGTTCGACAAATCGACCTCCTCATCCCAGCGTCGTGATTGATGCGCAGAGGTGAAAAATTACCTCGTGGTCGAGTTGATGGAAGTTGTCGGGATAGGAATCGAGAAACTCCTTCACAAAATTGCACTCTAGACGATAAGACCCTTCATTGTGCCATGGACCAACCGCGATAACGAATCAAGTACGTACCAGACACGTGATGAAGGTCATAAATATAGATTTCTTAAGGCTGAATAAAGCTGTGGATAATGACCATTTGTGTGGAGCATAACAAGGTTCACAAAGGCTGCTAGGCAGGAATTTGAATCAAGAGTGGGCGAGAGACGGAAAACATTATGAATGGACCAATTGATTTCGTAACGAGATTGACATATTCACCGTTCACTGCTAACATGGTGATACATCGATGCAAATCTACCACGTGCTTACTTTCTACATGACCATGAAACGACGAATTGATATCTGCGTTGCTTGACTTGGCCTGCATCGATTAGTGAGTGTCTAGACCGGCTGTGCTGTCCTCTGAACATAATCTTGCATGATCCGGAGAATTCGGCTGAATGTGAAAGTGCTTCTCTTTCGATTTGCGTTGTCACGCCTAAAAGGATGATCACCGCAGGCATGTTTTATAACTTTCCGGACCAAAATGGATAGCTTCTTCGTATCACGGTGACACTGCAACTTTCCGCCAGAAGGGCTTTCTCGGACAAATTGATTGGACTCTACCGAGTGTAGAGGAAAGGGAGAGCGTTGGTCCTTTCTCGTAGGTGAGAGCTTGGACCGGATTTCAAACAGTCTGGTAATCATAACGTTTCAGAAAGACTGGAGACGCTGAGAGATATGGAAAGAGATTGGAGATGTTGGAGATACGGAAACTCATTACGGAGTCGGTGTTCAAAGTAGAAAATATCTCTCGTTCAGAATACACAGCCATTGCCAATTAATTGATGGATCCGATACCCGATAAACGAGCTGAGAGAGCCGCTTGCATAGGTACCTGGGCCCCCTTGGGCTAGCAGGTGGATTGTGATGGTTCCATAGCCACCAATGAAGGTATACTCGGCGTTACGATCTCGTATCTCTTGTTGACATTTGTTGACATTTCTCGACATTTCTCGACATTTCTCGACATTTCTCGACATTTCTCAGCATCCAGCATTTACCGGTACAGGCGATCAGATCAGCACTTACTGGCAACCTTTTCCCAGCGCGTGTTGAGTTGGAATACGCCAGTAAGCATGACTAAAATGAGTTTACGCTATTTGGGGCCAGAGAGAGTGACGCGTCCATGTGTTGAGGATTTTCAGTTAGTAGTTTTATTAGGCGTTGGCCAAGACCGGTGAATTGTAGGATGCTTTGGGGACAAGAGAGGCATGGCACCATCCATCGTTCTGTGCTGTGTACAATGTAGAACAAGGGAACTTCTGGTTATTAGCATGCATACAAATCTTGATCCAAGTCTGGAACCCAATCGTGATGCTGTTCAACCATGGACACACCAAGAGGAAATGATACATGCTCTCAGCGACCAGACGAGTATAGTTTGCATGTGTTGTTGATGTGATGGATACTCTGGATACTCGATGTGCACCTTGCTACACATGTCCCTTTTCGTCCGGTGCTTCCGCCCATGTTCTGAGATATGAGACCTCGTAATTGAATCATTTCATGTGATGCACACGAATTACTCCGTGAAATCAATTTGAACCCTTCACTCCCAAATAAACTCCCCCTTATGATCATTTGGCCCAAGGTTCGAAATATCATCTCTTGTTATCCAAGATTACCGATCATATATTCTTTTCCATTTTTCCATTTTCCATTTTCCATTTTCCATTTTCCATTTTCCATTTTCCATTTTCCATTTCATTCTCTTCCTCTACCTAGATACACATTAATCATCTTTCTTTCTATTTTGAGCATCGGTAGTCGGACCTCCCGCCTCTTATCCTCTCATCATTCCCTGGTCTCACAAAAGTGACGTCCCCCAGATCCCGCCAAACCCAAAAAAAATATCAAGATGCTAAGCAGGTACATGAATTAGTGCGCATACCGGTAGATTATTCACCTGCTTTCCCCCCAAATTATTCATCATTCATCATTCCTCAACATTAATCACATTACTCCCAATTCAACCTCGACATTCTTTTGGATTTGGCTTCAATTCATCTTCTGTTTGCAGCGTTGCGAGCCATATTTGCCGCCGCGCTTTAAAATTGGGAATCATTGTGCTGTTATATAATCAACAGTCCGACAAAGAAAGAACAAAACACAGAGCACTTATTAGATTGTACATGCTATAATAAGTCCACCATATCAATTTGAAGGGTCATCCGGAGCTCGCGGAATCACCGCTGCATTGATAGATTTCTCAACTTACTATCATTCAAAGTAAATTAAATCATTCACAATGGGCCGGAATCGAGGTACGTTGGAATGCGCCACCATATTTACAAGTCAACCATTGCTAAATAGCTCTTTCCCTTAGTTATGTCGTTCATGTCCCAGTTTAGGGACAGAGACTCTCATAGCCCTACTCGACCACCTCCATCTACAGGTCGAGCACGAAGTCGAACTGAATCCTACACACAGCAAGGGTCTCAAGACACAGGAAAGTCGTCCTCGGGAAGAGAGCCATTTCCAACTTCGAGCTTCCAAATGCCCTCTCACCAGGAATCGCCGTCGAGCGAAGTTCGCGCATCTCCTCAGCCGACTCGAACTCGGGAACGAGCATCTTCTAGACCAACGTCTATGGCACAAACCTTTCAGCCTCCACTGATGGATGTGAACCAAGATACTCTACCGGAATTACAACCAATTTTCACATTCTTGAATAGTCACAGCAATAAGCTGTACCAGGAAGGGTATTTCTTAAAATTGGATGATCAAAACATACGTACGTATTATGTTCTACCTTGGTGGAGCATTATGATCTAACATCATGCAGATGGCAAGGCCAATGCCGACCGAACCTGGACAGAGTGTTTTGCACAGCTTGTGGGAACTATCCTTTCATTGTGGGATGCTGCAGAGTTAGATGCGGCTGGCCAAGATGGAGAGGTCCTTCCAAAGTTTATCAATCTCACAGATGCCTCGATCAAAATGGTTACTTCTACTCTTCTCAAAATGGGTATGATTCCACCTACTAATAGTCTATAGATCGAATCCCTTCCCACGAGGTCACCCACAGAAGCGCCTTTGCAGAATGTCCTCAGCATATCAACAGCTGGCAAGAATAGATACCTATTGCACTTCAATTCACATCACTCGTTGGTTCAATGGACCGCCGGTATCCGTCTCTGTATGTTTGAGCATGCGTCATTACAAGAAGCGTATACAGGTGCGCTCATTGCTGGTAAGGGTAAATTATTAAACAACATCAGACCCATCATGGAGCGCTCGAGAATCCAAACTGCAGACTGGGCCCGAGTGAGATTTGGCGCTGGAACGCCTTGGAGACGATGTTGGTGCGTAATTACTCCACCCGATGAAAAAGAAGTCCAAAGATTACAAAAACAATCGCAAAAGAAGAGGTCGGCATATGATCGCTCCCGACCCCTATATTGAAAGGCGACATCAAATTTTATGATTCCAAGAGGACGAAAAAAATTCGACCAATCGCGACGATTAACGACGCATATTCTGCGTTTGCCATATATCCCCAATCCAAACCACTCATCGATGCTTCCACTTTAGTCAAGGTTGAGGGATCTATTACGATTCACTCCAACCCCCCTTGACATCCGAAGGATTCGTATTCGTCATGCCCGAGGTGCATCCGGCTGTAAGTGGCTTTGAAATGATGCTCCGTTGGCTTTTCCCAGTCTACGATACGTTTGGTCTGTATGGACGTCCTGGTCGTTTGATTGCAGAGACAAATGATACCAGAAGTTTGATGTTTGCAATGCCAGAACACCGAAGATATGGATATTTAGAAACCCTCGATGTTTCAAGTCTAATATCAGAGCCAGGTAGCGCTAACTGGCTAGAGTCTGAATGGAGAGGAAGAATGAAAGATTTGACAGCTAAGCGAATGGTGACTCTCAGAAACAACAGCCAAAGAAATAGCCAGTACGGCAGTAGAAGAAGTCGCAATAGTGTAGGAAATCCTCGAACTCGCCTTCAGTTTGACGATGCAGCATCGGTTAGATCATCGCCATCGATACAGTTTGGTGCCCGTCCGTCGGGAGATGTTGGCTATAGCGGCCTCCCTAGAACTGATTCGACACCTGTTGCATTTCAACCGTCAAAGACCTCAGGACCGTCTCATCAAAGGTCAATATCTGAATCTCTACCACCAAGCCGTGATCAAAATCAAAATCCTTCTGTCTTTGATGGAGCTTTTGAACCTGCTCCTATTCCACCTCTGCACACTGGCTCAGGTTTGAAATACGTACAAGATGCTACACCTTCCCCCGACCGCCTCAGTTCAGAGGATGAGCAAGCAGCCAGTGCAACCCCAGTTCGCGAACTACAAGAATTGCAAACGGTTACGATTCCAGAACCTGTAGCTGCACCCCCAGCTTTCAAACACGCGCCGGGCGCTAAACCCCCTAGCAAACCCCTGCAATCAACAGATCTTCGAAAAGCGAACAATCGCATGTCTACTGCAACATTATCTCAGTTAACTGGTGCTGCCGGTGCTGCAGCCACTTACCAAAGTCAAGATCGACGAGGATTGAATGCTCAAACGCATGATAGAATAGAGGAGGATGAAGATCAAGGTAGAGGGGTACTGTCAGACGTCACCAGATATCACCATATGCCTGCTAACCATAACATCATTAATGAAGGCATCGTAGCAACCTACGAACCTCGTAACGAACAAGAGCCAACTCTTCCCTCGAACCGCGATCAAATACCGTATCAAAACCAATACTATCAATCTAATAATACAAATTTTAATTCAAGATCACAACCGAATCTCTCAAACGATATGCTCCCACCAAAGAACTCCTCAAGCCAACCATCTCGTTTACAGACCAGCCAAAGCATCTCAAGAAAGCCTCTCCCTACACGCGAAGAGAACCAATCAAGCCCTAGTTCGTCGCACCCACCTTCCAGCTCTGGCAGCTTGACTCAGCATATTCTCGATTCAGGCGCTTTCGACTTGATACTGCCTAAAGCAGACGACTTTAAGCTCCCGCAGATGAATAGACACAATAGCGATTTAAGTAGTGCATATGACGACGCTGCATCGACTGGTACCCCAGATTATGCCAGTACCAAAAAGTCTGTGCGGTCTGTACGCACGCAAGAGTCTGTCGAAAAGCCTCGAGCAGGGAAGAAGAAGATCATCGGCAATATCGAAGTTGGGCAACCACTTTATGGTGACGAAAACACATTGTCAAAAGGGGTTGATATCGATTTTGGTCCTACCTTTGATCTCAATCGAGCGCCCGGCCAAAACTCTCCAAGTCCGCCTCCTAAACAGAATAATTTTAATCAGTCCAGTCCTGAAAAGCGTCCAAGTCATGAAAGATCTCCAAGCGGCAATGCAGTAGCTTGGCAACCTGGAATGAGCGCAACCGCTGCTAATAATACCTTTGGCCACAAACAAGGTATGACGGCGGAAGAGTATGTTCAACAGCGTTCCATGGTTGCTGCTACCACACCGCAATATATCCACCAACGTCAACCTTCGGGCAACATTCTACGTGCAACTTCTCCTACGCCTGCACGCGCCACACCTTCCCCAACACCTGGACGATATACCCCTTCCCCTACGCCAGGTCAAACTTCTAAGCGTTCCAGTGCACTTATAGGTCAACATTCACGCCACAGCTCAGCAGATTTATTAAATTTCAATGAAGGACATGGTCAAAATCGTCACTCACGCCATAGCTCAGCAGACTTGTTAAATTTCAATGAAGGACATGGTCAAAACCGTAACTCACGTCGTAACTCAACAGATCTATTAAACTCTGCTGAAGTATATGGTCAACAGCAACATGCACGTCGCAGTTCAGCCGATCTCTTACGTCCAAGCTCCAGAGGTGCAAACAGAGTTTTAGGGCCTTCTGGGAATGGCACCGTTACAACGAATCTCTCTGCCCGAGAGCAGGCCTTTGTTGCTAAAATTACTGGTGGACCCCTAATTGCCATGGTTAAGAATACCAATAAAGATAACGTTGTTTCTGCTGGCCTCGTTGGAGCTATTGGTTCGCGTGAGAAGGAAAAGCAACATGTCAAGCAAGGACTCAAATCTCAGTCGATACAGCATGCAATTGCACTTCGTCAACAGCAATTGGCTCAACAACAGCAACAACAGCAACAGCAGCAAGCTGAGCAACGTCGTCTTGATCAACAATTAGCTGAACAAACTCGTCTTTTGCAACAAACTGAGCAGAACCGTCGCCAGTCCCAATATGCTAATACCAACTATTCACCATCGCAGTTTGCAGTACCAAGTAAGAGAGGTTCATGGATGGGGCCAAACTTTCCTCAGGCAGCGGCATGGACAACACCAGGGCAATCACCAGGGCAATATCAAACAACTCTGGCCCACTCACCTGGTCAATATCAAACAACTATGGCACACTCACCTGGTCAATATCAAACAACATTGGCTCACTCACCTGGACAATATCAGCCAACGTTGGCTCACTCTCCTGGTCAATACCAAACAACCTTAGCACATTCTCCTGGATATCAAGCTTCCCCTCATCAATATTCTCAACAACAACAATATTTCCCTCAATATCCACCAACGCAAGGACAGAGGAACTCTGGATACTATGGGTAGGATATGTATTAGGTTGACAGCATAGCCTGGCGTTATTCTTATAAAATCTTGAAGTGAATTGGATTTAAAAAGATTGTCGTTTGGAATTGAGACAATCCCTGTTTTTGTAAAATGTTTTGGTCTTTCCTTTTGGTCTCTTTTCTCGTTCTTTCTTTTGTTCATAGCGGGGGTATGGCGTGAAGGCTCACGTAAACGGCTGGATGGAGGGGGTTTTCTACATTTGATTGCAGTTGAATGTTGGGGATAAATTCGACGTAGCCTGGAAATGGCACATCTTCTTTTATCTTCTTTTCTTTTGTAAATCAAGTATATTAGTTGAATGGATGCTGTAGAGCGAAAGGATGAGGCAAACTTACATGATCCTTAATACTTGAAGGGGTATTGGCTTAGAAAAGAGTAAATCAAATGAATGTATAATTCTAAATTTTGAATTCTGGATTATGAGCTTTAGGAATTTTCATTGTATAGTGTGAATTGGTTTGTATTGTGGTTTATTCTTTTACGGGAATTTATCATGTATCATGTATAAAGATGAAGAGTGAATTCAATGGTGTTTTTGATAGCTTGAGAGGTGTTATTTATCAAGTGTTTTATTGTATTCATGTGAGTGATTCCTCTTCTCAAAGCTTTTGGTTGTTCTAATCGCTAGGATATTCAAATTCATATTGTTTCCTCCCTTTGTATGGTTCTTCTAATTTCCAGTCATGAATGGATATCTCGACTCATATCAATATCTTACCTCAATTGATATTATTGGTCTAATTTATAGAGATATTCTAATTCGTGTTGTATAATTATTTCAGTTCGTGTAATTCATGTGGTCACCTCGATTCATCTCATATAATCAATCATCTCATATATTTCATACCATCATTTCAATTCACGTCAGACACTCATGTCACATAATCACATTCCATACAGTCACCAAAAACCATCGTCAAAAGCCATCATGGTACAGGTTGTCAAATATGTATTGACCGTCCACTGGACGAAAAGAAGTGTCGATACAACAAATCTTCTCTCCGTAATCTATTTTGGGAATAAAAATTACATTAAAATACTGTACACGAATACTCAACAGTATCCATACCTCGTTCAGACATAGGAAAGCCTCCAGTTCAATTCATAGCACTCATATACTATCCACCTTTTTTTCCATCACCTAATTTACAAGAGAGCAACGGCGCCCATGATGACAGCAATCAATCCCATGGAGATGCTAGAACGGCTAGCAGAACCAGTGACAATCATGCTTGGGGATGCGGTTGCTGATCCACTGGCGGCAGTGATGCCAGTGACAGTGACAGAAGAGGTTGGTTGAGTGGGTTTGTTGATGCCTGTTCCACTAGCATAATGTCCAGAGGTACCGTTGTTAGATGAGCCAACTGGGTAGACTGGAGATCCAGTAGGGGCAGCGACTCCTGGTACAACAACAGTGGATGAACCAACTGGGTAGACTTCAGATCCAGATCCAGTAGGGGCAACAACTCCTGGTACAACAACAGTGGATGAACCAACTGGGTAGACTTCAGATCCAGTGGGGAGAATAGCTCCTGGTACAACGATAGTGGATGAAGCACCTGAACCTGGAACAATCATAGTCGATGAAGCGATGGTGATACCCTCAGCGGATGAGACTGAAACAGCCTTACCTGGGAGACCAGAGACGGTAGAGTTCTCAGGAGACCCTGGATAAGCAACACCAGATGGAGAGCTAGCACCGGCAGTTTGAATGATGGTAATGACGGATGCAGATTGAGTCTATGTTTGATTAGCTGTAGAACTTGAAGAAAATCACAAGGGAAACTTACAACAGTGAGAATAGAAGGAGAAGCAGAAATGGTGATAACAGATGGTTGAGCACATTCTTCAGAACCTGCACTTCCAGATACACCAATGGCAGAGGTCAATGGTTGAGAAGAACCAGCTACTGGTGCAGATGTGGTCAAACCTTGAGCTGAGCTGACTGCTTGACTAGCAACGGGAACGACTGTTACAGTGCTGTAAACCATATCTCCACTGTCAGTGTTGATAGCGGAAGATGGGCTACCGGTTGTGGCACTCAAACTTGCAACAACAGATGGGGATTCACTTCCAGAGTTTCCAGAGTTAGATCCAGTTTGTGTAGAAGCTGGAGTAGAAGCGACAGGGACACCGTTGCTGGAAATCACAGAGGCAGCTGGAGATGGAGCAGTGACACCAGAATTGTCAAAAGTAGATGATGGAGCTGGTCCGGATGCTTGTGCGCTGCCTTGTGGAATGACGACAGAACCGCTTGGGGAAGAAGTTCCTTGTGTTTGAACGGCAACTGTTCTAGTGGCATAGATGGTGGAAGACTGGAAAATTGTCGCAAAGCTTGTTGATGTCTCAAGACTGGTGACTCCTCCGTTGGTCTGGGTCAAAGTGACTGGGTAGACAGTGACGTATGATTGGACGGAGACTGTGCTGTAGATTTGTTCGGTAGAAACACCTTGGGAAGCAGCTGGGACGGAGGCTACTGGAGCGGAGGCTACTGGGGTCACGACAACAGTGCTAGTACCAACAAGAGTGGAGGTGCTGTAAACAGTGGACAAGCTGGTGGTGGTCTCAAAGCTGGTTGTACCTTGACTGGTGTGGGTGAGAGTTACTGGGCAAACTGTAGTGTAAGAGTCAACGACGACAGTTGTGTAGACAGTTTCGGAAGATTGGGCTGGAGAAGAGACAACTGGGGCGGAAGCTACTGGGGTCGCGACAACAGTGCTAGTACCAACAAGAGTGGAGGTACTGTAAACAGTGGAGATGCTAGAAGTAGTCAAAACGCTAGTGGATCCTCCAGTAGTTTGAGTCAAGGTAACTGGGCAAACTGTAGTGTAAGAGTCAACAATGACGGTTGTGTAGACAGTTTCGGAAGATTGAACTGGAGAAGAGACAGCTGGGCCAGTGACTTGAGCGGATCCAGATGGAATGACACTAGCACCCTCGGAATCGGAAGTTGCGGAAGGTGCAACCGTGATAGTACGTGTACCAGTAGCGGTTGACGAGCTGTAGACTGTGGAGGTGCTAGAAGTAGTCAAAACGCTAGTGGTTCCTCCAGTAGTTTGAGTCAAAGTAACTGGGCAGATTGTGGTGTATGAATCAACGATAACGGTAGTGTAAACAGTCTCGGACGAAAATCCTGGTGAAGAAACAGCTGGGCCAGTGACTTGAGCGGATTCAGATGGGGATGAACCAGATGGCTTCACGATAACAGTCTTGGTGGCAGTCATGGTGGAAGAGCTGTAGACAGTTGAAATGGTAGAAGTGGTCAAAACACTTGTTACACCTTCACTAGTTTGTGTCATGGTAACAGGGCAAACAGTAGTGTATGAATCGACGATAACGGTTGTGTAAACAGTTTCGGATGAGGAGGCAGATGGAGAAGAACCTCCAGTAACACTAGCGCCACTAGAATCGGAAGTACCAGATGGGCTTGAGACGTTGACAGATTCAGATGGAGAAGAACCATTGGAAGAAACGGCTGGCAATGAACCACTAGCAGAAGGTTGGTTTGAGCCCGAAGCATTGGGCGAAGATCCAGATGGATAAACTCCGTTAGAGGCACTTGGGGATGAACCGGAAGCTACAGATGGATAAACCCCGTTAGAGGCACTTGGGGATGAACCGGAAGCGACAGATGGATAAGCTCCGTTGGATGCACTTGGGGATGAACCGGAAGCGACAGATGGATAAGCTCCGTTAGATGCACTTGGGGATGAACCGGAAGCGACAGATGATGGAGAAGATCCAGCTGGGGTAGTGGAGAGTCCACTGAGTTCACCAGAGCTGATTTGAGCTGGAGTAGAGCTAGAAACTGGGCAAGCAGTTTGACCAGAGAGAAGAGCGCCTGATGAAACACATGGAACAGATGCAACGGCACTGCCAGATGGAGATGAACCATTTTCTGATCCTGAGGCACTTGGGGAAGAGCCGTTTGAGCCCGAAGCATTGGGCGAAGATCCAGATGGATAAACTCCGTTAGATGCACTTGGGGATGAGCCGGAAGCGACAGATGATGGAGAAGATCCAGCTGGGGTAGTGGAGAGTCCACTGAGTTCACCAGAGCTGATTTGAGCTGGAGTAGAGCTAGAAATTGGGCAAGCAGTTTGACCAGAGAGAAGAGCGCCTGATGAAACACATGGAACAGATGCAACGGCACTGCCAGATGGAGAACCACTTGGGGAAGAGCCGCTTCCAGAATTTCCAGAGCCTGATGCACTTGGGGATGAACCACTTGCAGCATTTCCTGATGGAGAGGCACCACTTCCAGATGGAGAACCACTTGGGTATGAGCCGCTTCCAGAATTTCCAGAGCCTGATGCACTTGGGGACGAGCCAGTTGCGATAGAGCTTGATGGGGAAGAACCGTTTGAGCCTGAGGCACTTGGGGATGAACCACTTGCAGCATTTCCTGATGGAGAGGCACCACTTCCAGATGGAGAACCACTTGGGTATGAACCGCTTCCAGAGTTTCCAGAGCCAGATGCGCTTGGAGACGAACCAATTGGGGAGGTGGTCTCGCCGCTAAGTTCTCCGGTACTGCTTGGGGTAGGAGCTGAAGCAGTGTCACTTCCGAAACCAATCACACTCGATGAAGGAGAGGAGCCCGAGAGTTCACTGGACAAAGCGGAGGTGATGGATGCCAAGTTAGTGCTTGTAGCTCCAGTACCGACGGGAACGACAGCGATAGGAGTTGTGCTTGGGACATCGAAAGTAGATGGAGTTGCTGATTCAACCGAGGTAAGACTGATTGTGCCAGGAATAGATGACGGGGCAACATTGGTGTTAGCCGTGGTAGTAAGTGATGGCAAGCTTGATGGAATTGCTCCTGACGCGGTGTTGCCAGCCTCAGTAATTGGGCAAACAGTAGTATAATCGACAACGGTTTGAGTAACAACGGTGGTACTTGCAAGAGATGCTGGACAATGGATAACATTTGAAGCACAGCTAGTGATGGTAGTAACTTGGGTAGCATAAGCTGTAGATGTGGTCATAGATGCTGCACTAGTAATGGTACCGATTAATGATCCAGTGGCGGAAGCACCGGATGGTCGGGAAGCAGTTAGGACAGTGCCATTCGAGAAATGTCCAGTTCCAGATGGGGCGGAATCAGAGTTAGAGGCTGACGAATCGGAATCAGAGCCAGATCCTCCGAGACCGATAGAGATCGAACCACCAAGACCGATGGAACCCGAGCCACTGGAAGCCGAACCACTGGAAGCAGAGCCAGTGGAATCAGAGCCACTGGAAGCAGATCCAGTAGAAATGGCACCTAAAGCTCTGGTGGAAGTTGGTCTAGTGGTGCAAATAGCAGCTAGGGCACCAGCATTCACAGTAATAGCGGCAGTTGGTGCAATCTCGAATGCAGCAAAGTCGATGTTTGCAACGGAAGCGGCATATGCACCAATGTTAACATCGACTGCACCCGAGATGGAAAGTGGACAATCATCGGTGCTACCAATTTCAGTGACATATTGAAGCAAATCGGCATAGACACCAAGTTCAAAGCCATATCCGATACCCAAGAGAGAGACGGTAGTACCAGCCTCAACTCTGCAGCGAATAGAAGCTTGTAATGTGGCTTCACCAGCAAGAACAACGATAGGAAGGTCATTCATGACAGCTCCGTCGAAGTTATAGTCCTTGATAGCACCGGCCAAGAGATCAACAGTAAGGGAAGCACCTTCTGGAAACGAGAATTCGAAACCAGCAGAGAGATCAACTTGAGAATCAACGGAGATAACCAAATCAAGGAAAACATTCAGGCCAACCGAGACAGTATCGAGAATAGAAACATCAGCGATAAGACCAGCTTCGAAAATATTGAGAGTGTAAGTGGCGGATTCAGCGGCGAAGACATTGAGTTCGATGTGTCCTCCAACATCCTCCAAAGAAATCAAACATTCCAAGCTTGCGGCTTCAACAATGGTTTCGTAAGGATGTTCCAAGAACTCGAGCACCTCTTCGACAATGCTGCTGGAAATTTCGGCCACGGTGTTGGTGACGACGGCTGTACCCCATGTTCGACAATCAACACACTTAATCTGACATCCCGATGCACTTCCAAAGCTGATACCGATATCTGCACCAAGACCGAGGTCAAGAATACCAAATACATCCAATGCAGCACTGACACCACTACAAATATGTCAGCAACAAACCGAACATGATATCATCTTTGGGAACTCTTACGTATCTAATAAGACCTCATTCTGTCTCGAGCAGCCAATGTCATGACTGCAAAGCTGCTTGTAGGATGTGTGTCTTGCAGACACACCAGAGTGTACATCAGCAGAAATACCGGTATGGACGACATCTATGCGATCAGAATACTTTTCAGGTGCATAAGCTGGTGGATATGCTGCTACATTTGTAGCAAGGACTGCCCCAACGAGGGCCGTCCCGAGAGACGATGAAAACATGACTGATAGGATAACAATAAATGCAAATGAATGTGTTTAATATGAAAAAAATAAAAAAAAGATTGTAACAGGCCTAGAAGGACCTTTCGTAAAGAGAGTGGTAAAGAATGCAAAGCAGGCTTGGAAAGGAAAATAATGATGGACAGGAGAACATCTTTTAAAGACGACGACCATAACGTTCTCACCCCTTGAATCTTGGCATAGCGTTGAAGCTATCATGTTGATCATCTCGAATGAGAAAGGTAGATCTACTCTCCGAAATGAAAGTGTCTTTCCTATACTGGAGCCCCTTGTTCCGTACCTGACTTGGAAAAATCATCATCTCCATATTTTGTGTAAAAATATGGGGTACCTTCGGACGAAATTCCAGCAGCCGTCCAGCAACTTTGCTCTCATAGACTCGATCTGATTACTGTCGAGATAAAAATAAGGTCAATGTGGATAACATCAAATAGCATTCTATCAAAGCACTTGATACCATTGGATATAACCTGGTGAAAAAAGGTCTGGAAGGGAATGGGGGAAGTGAACATTGAGAGATTTTTGTGTACTTCCGGACTAGTAATTGACCGATCTACAGTAAAGCACGAGCTTCATACCCATTGGGAATGAATTGCCATACTTGGAAAGTCCCCTGGAAGTTATACCGTACGGCATAAAGCTGGCAGTGGGGTTGACACGTCCCCTCAGAATGGATTTGATGTTTCAGGTCAAAGATTCCAGGAATCCAGGCTCAATAAACCGGATTTGTGTACGCATTGTACTGTACGATGGCTGTCCGTAATATCGAGTGTAGTGTTGGGAATAGCTTGTAAGTTGCTAAAGAACTCAATGCCGGCGAACCGTTCCGTACAATAGCGGCAGTGGCAGTGGCAAGTCCCTGGATGCATGGTTATGCCCTTAAAGATAGGTCTGAGAGTCGACTGAAAGGGGCAATGTTCATCTGTATGTTTATGCATCCAATTACTCGAGTAGTATGGAGTCATAAAAAATTGAAATCCTCTGACGAACCAGTGGTACAGATGTCATGAGGAGCTAATCATTGGATGCTTTTGATTATCCAATCTCTCTCACCACCCAGGCATTTGGTCTTGAAAGAATCCAAGAATAGATACGACATTTCCAATTTGTGGCCCCCAATTTGCAATTGCTCATACCAAAGCATTCGATCTGCACTTTGGCCGCCTCATGACTCGACAAGGCTATTGCGCGCTAGACCCATTATAATGTTTTAGCGTACATGTCAAGCGAAATTGCCGCGACGTCGCATGAGGCTAAAAGTTATACTCAGCCTCGCATTGACGCACACAGGCTACATTTGAAGTCCGAACTTTCATCAAATTTACGAAGCACTTTATTTACCTTCACACAAAATATCGGAACCGAGCAAATAAGCATACCAGGACGTCGAAATCAAGTATAGCCCGTGATCAGACCGAGGCATTATTCCGCATTGTGGCCTCTACACCCGCGTCATTGAACGCTATCTAGCACCTTTCAAGCTATCGAAATTATCGGTCTCCTATCATAGGATTCACAGCACAATCATCACCACCCAGCATGTCTCTCTCCTCCTACCTTGCCAAAAATTACCTCACCGCCTCCAGCCCCTCTTCCAGTACCCCCAAAGACAAAAAGCGCAAACGCAAGGCTGCCGCGCAAACCGGTCTCATAATCGCCGATGATGACGCTCCCGGCTGGTCCAATCCTCAAGACCATGCCTCCGACGATGATACCCCCATGATCACCAGCCATAGCACCTCGGAATTTCGCAAATCCAAAAAATCATCTTGGAAAACCGTCGGCGTACCTGCTCTCCAACCACAAAATGAAGACACCGCCGAGGCAGACCGGATAATCCAGCAAGCCGCTGCCGAGAACTCTGCCGCTCTGCACGCCGACGAAGAACCTACTATTGAAGAGACCCGCGGCGGGCTTCAAACTCGCGATGAAGCAGCCGCGCAAGCTGAGAAGAAAAAGCGAGTTGAAGCCGCGCAATGGGCGCGCGAATCTGGTTCGGGCAAGAGTAAAGGAAAAGAAGAAACTGTCTATCGAGATGCAACGGGTCGACGAATCGACATAAGTATGCGACGTTCTGAAGCTAAGAAAGAAATGGATGAAAAAGCACGAAAGGAATTGGAAGAAAAAGAGGCGCAAAAGGGAGACATACAATTATTAGCCAAGGCGAAAAGAAGAGAGGAGTTAGATGAAGCGAAGTTCATGACGGTGGCGAGGGGGGTGGATGATGTGGAGATGAATGAGGAACTCAAAGAGGTAGAGCGGTGGAATGATCCCGCGATGCAATTTTTGAGTAAAGAGAAGAAAGGCAAAAGTAGGACGGGAAAACCATTATACAAAGGTTCGGCAGCGCCGAATAGATACGGCATTCGACCCGGTCATCGATGGGATGGGGTAGATAGGGGCAATGGATGGGAGGCGGAGAGGTTTAAAGGGGAGAATAGGAGGGCCAGGAATAAGGATTTAGATTTTCAATGGCAGATGGATACCTAAACCTATGTTACATATTACAAATTGCCAGTTACGTATACCCCGGGAAAGCGACGATCAATGGAGTTCAGATAATGATAATGCACGCTGTAAACATGTCAATCATATATTTCTGTATATTCTCATTTCTTTCCCTATTCTATGTAGGTATTGTAGACAAACTGTGAATGGCATCTGAGAACATCAAGAAAACTTCACATACACGGCCTGATAGACCACATATGCATATTATACTTGAGCGCCATTAGTAAATCTTTTCCTCCCTTCCTCATTGGTATTCGCAATTAATATCATCTCATCTTCGCCAATTTGAAAGATATTTGCCTTCTTCCCATCCCAATGCATCATGATGCCTTTGTAACAAATTCGTTGCATGTACCATAGCGACCAATGTACTTTCCTCTCATATCCATATTACCAAACACCCTTTTTCGTATGGTATTATGTTGTCTCCCATCTCACATTCCCACCCACTACCCACCATTAAATTTTCACCACGACTAAATCTGAAACTCGAAACCTCTTTCTACACAGATTCAAGCAACCATGATACCGTGCTTCCTAAACTTTTGGTCGCAAAAGTTTGTCAGGTCCATATTTGGTATATTTCTTGATCATTTCCATAAACTCCTTTTTAGTGGTCTGTCCTTCACCATCACCAACTCTTCCACGGAAGTATGCCAATATTTGACTAATGGAGACACCTGTTGAAGGCAGACCAGCAATATCTTTGGGCGTAATTGGACCAGAACCAGAGGGCGATGTAGCTTCTGTAGTGATATTGTTAGTGAGTGTCTATTTTCCAAAGAATTACGGAACAATAAGCACAAAAAGACATCCTTACCAGCTCCTTGAGAAGGGCTACCAGCACGGCTACCACTCGATTTACCAGGGATTGGACTACCAGGTCTTGAAGTTGTTGGTGATCCTCCCATACGAAGTGTGATCTTCTTCTTCTTTGAACCGGCTCCATCTGACATTTCACCACCTGTGGCTTCTCCGTCGCTTGTGGCATTTTGTGGGTTGGGTGTAGAAGAACTGATTCTTGAAAGTTCGTTTGGATTTACCGACATCTTGACAATAGATGATTTTCTCTGAGGTTGACCTGGAATTGGAGTAGATGTACCTGTAGGTTGCGATGAGCCGACATGCTTCTTCTTATGCTTCTTTCTAGAAGATTCGTTCCCACTAGATTCTGAAAGGTTTGGGGATCCAGATCTCTTAAGATTCTTGGGTTTCTTCAAGGGATCAGTGTGCTTAGGTCGACCAGAAGGTGTGGTGTTGCCTTTTGACGAAGTACCTGAAGGCTTTGCTTCAGCCTTTAATTTGGCTTTGGCCTCTTCATCTTTCTTCTTGTCGATCTCCTTTTGCTTTTCTTCATCGGAGGTATCATCTTCGCTCTATCATATGTTAGTAGGTAGATCAAATGACTTTCGCAAAATACATACATCCGAAGAAGCATATGGATTGCTAGAATCACTATCATAGATGAAATTCTTTTCGCGTTTGGTTAAAGCCTTTCGGACACCCTTTCCCAATTTCTTCTTTGCCTCCAGTTCCTGTTCTTCTTTGATGAAGTCTTTCTCAACGGTTTCTTCATCTGCTTCACCAAACAAGTTGGCACCCCTTTGATCTTGCTTGATTCTTTCCTGAGCATCCTTTGTATCTTCATCCCTATCTGGCTCAACTGTGGCAAGCTCATCATCATCCTGGAACAAATCATCAGCATCAAAATCAAGCTCATCAATATCTCTTGTTTCATTTCTGCTTGATCCCTTGAAACTTGCGCTCTCTGTCTTGACAGTGTACAACTTATTCATCCCTCGGATATTTTCCTGGGTTGCACGTTGAGCTTCGTTTCTCTCTTGGGTTTTCATAGCCCATCTAGATTCTTTAGTCTTCTTACTCAACAAAGCTTCCGCTTCATCGATTGTGAGAGTGTTGAATTTGTTTTTCGAGGTGAACTTGTACCACTTCTCGACTGGAATCATCTTGAAAGCACTTCCCTCCGTGAAAAACATAACATTGACTTCTGACAAAGCACTCTCATAGTTACCGACCCAAGTGTTCTTGTTGTCAGCATCTTCCAGGTGCCAAGGTAAAGCTTCCTCATATCTAAGATCGGACTCTTTCTTTTGCTCTGCTGTCTTATCTAAGCGATGTACTTGAGTTGTCTTTTCATTTCGGAAAGCTTGAGCTTTCTTAGCAGCTGCTGCGTTGGCATTATTGCCAGTAGGAGCTATTTGCGCACGATCTGCAGCCTTTTGCGCCTCCTTCTCGGCCTTCAATATTTCTTGTCTTTCTCTCTCCTTGGAATCGACTGCATCCTCCATAACTACATCTTCATCCTTGAATGCTTTGCCCGGAGGTGGTTGCCGGGGGTCTCTGCGATGAAGAGAAATTGGTCGCGTGAACTCGTTTTGATCTGCCGGGTCAACCTCTTTCTTTCCAGAAAATCTCATTGCATGATATCGGATTCCATCACGCAAAGCCCGCCTGGTAGTGAAGAGAGGATAATCCGTGACTTCTCCCTTGGGAGGATGAGTCCAACCACCGTATGTCTGTCTAGGCGCAACATTGCCATTGATAGGAACTGGACCTCTCGGACCAGGTGCGCGTGGGCCAGAAACGTTGTTCAAGGATGTAGGTCCATTCGGTCTAGCTGGTGTCAAACCGTTCAAGTTCGCGCCGGCAGGTATAGAAGATGGATTGGGTCTGCGGATAGGTTTCTTTCGTGGTCTCAAAGGATCGGCAGCCTTGACTTTACGTGTAAATTGTGGTGCGCCACCGCTGTTGGGAGTTGGGGTAGGAGTTCGACCATTCGACATGCCAGATGGGGAGGCAGACATCTTGAATGATTATTCGGAAAGTGACTAGATTCTTGATGATGGAGGTTCGACTGATACAATAGACTGGACAACCGATAGAGAAATCTTCTGGGCTGAACCGACTCAATGAGTTCCTTCCTTCTTAGAATAAAGTTGAGAGCTGTTGTTGCCTTGAGACGGAGTCTTCAATTGTGTTCGGTCGCAAAAGCTGAAAAGAAGCGATATCTTTAATCTTGAAGTTGTGTACATGTGCTATTGATCTTGGTCGCAATAGATGTCTGAGTAGGTATAGATGAATTGAAATTTGATCCTCCAAAGTGATGGTTGATTGTTCTTTGTTGAATTTAGATTTGCTTTGTGGATCAACTTGGTTGACTTTCTGATATGTTTCTACCATCCAAGATACAATTCAGTTCTGTTGCAATGACAAGCAATTAAACCCCCCTAGTCCCAAAGCCGTATGGTGACTCCCGGATCGCCAATCCCTGCTCAGTTGTAGATAGTAGTGTCATATTGTTACATTTTGCTAGGGTGGCCGTAGTACCAAGCGCCAAAAGTCAAAAGCCAAAGCTTCTTGTGCTGGCCCGATATATATTGTTTGCATCACATTCACTTGGAAGACTTTGAAGAGGGAACATACACTTTGCTCATACAGTAGGTATACTCTTTGAAGTATTCAAACTTCCATTCACAGCCTATATCTCACTTCAACCACCACCAACAACTATCACTTACTTCTTCTTGATAATCACACTTTGATCTGGAGAGGGAGGGGTATCTCGACAGCTATATTCTCCCCAAGAGGAGGAAAAGAGATTATTCTAGACCACCAACCATCCAAACGAAGACATATGGAAACTGTTCGACAACAACAACGACATCAACATATTTCATCGCATTTCACCATAGAAACGTATCTCATGATTGGGAAATTACGTCAATTCAAGTCAATTCAACCTTTTCTTCACATCCGATTCAAAAAATCACCTGGGATATTGGAGATCGATCAGCCTTCAAGAAATCATCACATGATTAGTCTTCATTGATTCAATTCACTTCCAGAATACAGAATATATCTACTTCCGAGGTTGTGGTTACCATCTAGAAACATACTAAGCGGCATTGTTCAACATATCAATCTTTGATATCAAATTGCTATTCTATTCTGGAAAACTTCAAACCAACTTGTCATCATATATTTACAAGGATGCTTCCAGTAGGGAAGGATCAAGGTGAGCACCTGCCTAGAGGAGGTTTTGGTGATAATGGACTTGAAGATCGCCTTCGAGGTCTCATTCTTAATAATGCCAATGTTGTCACGAATAATGAAAACGTCAATATGCATCTTCTTCCTGCAACTGGTGCCGCTGGTGCTAAACTGCCACCACACATGCTCACAGCCAGCCCATCGGAGCAACAGGAATACCTTTCCAATATGGTCTCCAAAGCTACTGTATCATCACAGCATATTCCCGGCAGCACTGCTCCATTGTCCCCTCAACCTGGAAAAAAGAGAATGAACCAAGCACAAAGACGACAAATGAATGCCCAACTTTCAATTCCAGTCAACTCTGGACAACAACAGCATCATCAGCAAACAGGCCCATCACCCCGAAACTACACACCCCATTCAGGACAGCAACATCCAACACCATCTACGCCGCAATACTACAACAACAATCAAAGGAACAACCAAAGACCGCAACAGACTTACCAACAAGGACAATTCTCGCCACAATTACCTTATCAACAGACCAGGTCTCCATATACCCCTCAAATGGCATATCATAGTTCTCCTAGGTCAGGTGGTTTCCCGAACCAAGCGAGTCCCAGTCTTCCATTTCAGAGTCCTGTATACCCTCAGCAACATCAACAGAATTCTTGGCAGAACATGAATCAAACAAGCCCCGGGTCTAATTCTTTCGCCCAAAGACCTCAACCACAAAATCGACAATTGTATCACCCAGGTCCTTCGAACTCTGGTGGACAAGGACGCAGAAATTTTGGAGCAAGTACTGATGAAATGATGGGGCAGGGTGCATTCTTGGACAAATTGGCTGAAGAGTGTGTTCCAAAAATAGCGATTGATATCGATGAGGCAAACAAGAAAGAGCAATTTCGGGCTCATATTGAAGAAATCTGTAAAGCAGCGATTACTGAGCATGAACGAGAAAA